TATTGGACTTCGGCTGCTGTTTGTATGCTGGAGCGCGTTTAAAATCCGTGGAAAGCGTCAGGTGACGTAGGGAGACCGTTTCTCCATGCAGTTAGGGTGTCGGATATAGGTTACTCAGGGTTACACTCCAGGAGCGCAGTCTCTGTGACTACGGGGTCATATTTCGAAGACCATGTATTCAGCCGCATAAAAAACAACCACTGCGGCAACGATGTTCCAATTGCGGATTTTCGATTGTGATGAAACATTCGCTGGTGTGGAGTGGCATTGGTGGCGGTGCACAACGAAGATTTATTCGAATGGCGCTTCTCGTATAACTGTTTCCCAACGACTGATCTGAGGACCACTTGATCGTACTGAAAGCGCAGTAGCTTTCCACAAATTTCCATTTAATCACCACCTGACTATTCTCCCTTGGGTTGAATGAAGTGGTCCGACTGATGGCAACGCCCTTTTCACGAAGAGATCGCCTAACCTCATCTGAAATGAGTGGGGAACCGTAATTATAACGCGTGAAACTGGACAGGCCAACTGTAGCAAAGTGGCACAAGACCATCACCACAGACGAGCGTATATGTGGACAGGGATAGGCGAACGGGAAACGGGAATTCTCGTCTACGATCACCAATATATATTTATTTCGATTCGTCGAAGGCGATGGTCCTTTAAAATCAATGCTCAGACCCTCGGATGTCCGCGTGGCTTAAGTGAGTGTACCACCAGATGGCTTGAAGAAACGTGGTTTGAATTCCGTACGCACATGACATTTCTTAATGACAAGTCAGAGGCCCTCTAGGGAGAATGGAAGATTTTTGGCACGAACAAAATGCATCATGTGTGTTGTTCCATCATGGAACAGAGTTGCATGTAGGCGTTTTGGATCCAGCTGAGGTGAAGTGTTCGCACCGACACTAAGAGGGCGTGTCAGCGGCTTTGTCTTCGATGCCCGGCCTGTATGTCAAGTAAAAAAATACTGCGATAACTCCACCCGCCAACGTTGGATTTTGTCATTACCCCCATTTTGTTGTGTTGAGTACGTGAATGCAACGGACCGCTAATCGGTTACAATCTTGAAACGGGTCCCGAGTAGATAACGCCTCCGTTTGCGCACCGCTTCGACAATTAAGCACGCTTCTTTCACTGGCAGACAGCGTACGTGAGAGGAGTGCGACTGGTCTGCCATCTTGATTGACTGTAGCTGTAATCGCAACATCGGACGCCTCAATTTCGAGTATCAGAGTTGTTCTCGGATCGATAATGATCACGGCTGCATTCACCAACTCTTTTTTGAGTCTTTCAAACACTTTTCGGACTAAGGAACTAGGAAGGTTGTATTGTGAGTGATTAGGCAGATTTTGTCAGAGAAACGGCTTTCTAACGAGAACAGTACGCGGACAAGTCAACTACACGTTGAGACTTCATGCCCCTCGAAATGGACAGCTGTTGCAAGATTTTGGAACATTCATGGTCTGGTTCTGATGATACCTTCAGTGATTCCAGTCGACGGACTTCCTCGAAGTGCTCTTTTCGCACAACCACGTGAAGGGTGGAAGAGAGCCAGAGGCGGCCAAACAATGACTTGGTAGCGAAGTATGAAAGCCATTATCAGCAAACTCAGCTGCGCTGGTCACTATCGTCTTTCTGCATGGGGACCCCGAGACGGGCCACATCAATGGCTAGGGACATTGTCAGACATGGCCCGGTCGCGCCCTCAATGGCACTCATGCATCCAAGCTATTGCCTTCAATGCATAGCTCTTTTTCCACCCCCACATTTTTGACAGCCCACTGACAATGCTCGATTTATGCACCAATTTATCAGCTCCCGCCTGCAATTCGCAGCCACCTACCCCCCCCCCCGAAACCCCGGGGAACGAAACTCCGGNGATGATGATGATGATGATGATGTTGTTGTTGTTGTTGTTATGCACTGACAGCCGTAAAGCGGCAATCTGGCAACAAACTACAAAGCGTTTGCACAAATTTATCATGGTTCTGTTCTCCGTCTTGCTTACAAGTATTCAAAAGATGCCGGGCGAAAATTTCATTTTTTGGTTGTACACAAATTTCTCGCAAGTTTGCAATAGCTGATTCATTATTCTAACAGTCTTTTATGAAGCAATAAACACTAGGAGCAATGTATTGAACAAGGGTTTCAACTTATGTGGTGAACGGGAAGGAATGGACTCAAATTCGCGAAAGTACAATTTAATGTCCCCTGATATCGCCCAGTCTTGAGTTTTGGGATCTATATGGAACCGTTCAGGACGTAAGAGCACATCCATTGTTCCATGAACATTTTTGGATGAATAGATTGTTGTGTTTGACCAGGAGTGGAGTGCGGCGACAATCAGAGCAAGAACACGGAAGACCGAGGGACCAGAAGTTAGGGTTTATCCATCCAAAACTTTTGCACTGCGAACTGAAGCGATAAAAATTGATTCATCAATGAACGATGAAACCCTAAAAAACAGGACAAGTAAACAAGACCCATTTTACTGTTCTTCGGCCGCTTCCCTTAAAATGCAATGATCGAGCCCCAAAATATGACCCTCTAATTAGAGGGAAACAGCTTGTCTCCTGTAATCCACAGTGCACCCACATAGTTCGTTCAAATGGCAAAGACGAAACCGCATCCTACAGGCGACTGCATTAAATCCGATCTTTCCGATGCAGAGTTGGAACCAGCGTGTCATCGAACAAGAAGAACCTCGCCCAACACTAGTTTACCGTGATTATTCAGAAAGTGAAATTTCATCATCATCATCATCGACAGCATGACAGCAGTGTTAACACCGTGTGTGTGTTAACAACCATGATTTATCCCCATTTCTAATTTTTTCCAATTTTTTCCTATTTCTAATTTTATTCCCATTCTAATGCAGACCCAGGAAGTAACTTTGTTATTCTCATACGACAACAGCGCACCCACACCTATAGTCTGCGCAACAGAGAGGCATCAACTACTTTATGTGACCAGCGCAGCTTTTATTTTTTTACGAACTGCCAAAGGACACACTTACCAACTTGGACTTGATGTTGTGACTATGTAGACCATACTTCCCATATATCATTAGCTGGTAATTTTTACTATATTTTCATCTCATGTACTAACTTTATCAAGCGATTGAGGCGTATATAACGCCATTCTGTTCTGTATTCCTGCTCTCTACCTGAAGCCACTTTACTCTTGCAACAGATGCCTTTTCTCGAAGGCAAGATGGCCCAAGTGGTTAGAGCGAGAATTTACTGACCGGAAGGTCCGCGGTTCGAATCCGACCTCCGCCACTCGACTTCCCCTGTCTAGGCTTGGGCAACCTGGCAGTATCCCAGCCCTCGTGCTTCCTTCGGGTGGCATGGCAGCTAGGCACCGAAAGTGGTGCCACAGCTGAACCCCTTTCTCGAAGACCAGCTGAGGAACTGGCTTCTGGTGATGTGGTTGAATGAACAGGGACAGCTGAAGAGTGACCCCAAACCCTCTGAACGCTTCGGTAACAAGGAGTTTGTGGTCACAGTGTGGACAACTTCGAGTGCTTCATCTTGTAGATAGTCGGGATGGTCAACGTCTTGTCATCGTCCCACGTAGTTGTGTTAGGGACTCATGTGAAAGAATGCCTCTCATGGGTATGGAGTTTGGTGTGGACCTCGAACAGCGGGTATTCCCGATCCCCTTACTTTGCGTAGTGTAAGAGTAACCGCCTCCTTGGTGCCTATGTCTTACATTTGTTCCACTGGTTATTTCGAAACGTTCCCCGATGTATCATATTCGTTGGTCATTTGCCTGTCCGTCCATGCTACTCCTTTCGTTCATCATCATTGTCAGCTGTAATAACTGCGTACTTGTCGTACAGTGGTTGTAGCCGCCGCAGTTTCGTTCACCGATGATTTGGGGAGGTAGGGTAGGTAGCTCTTCATTTGATGCGGGAGCTGATAAATTAGTGCGTACATACAGCACTGTCCGTGTACTGTTAAGTTGAGGAATTGGGCAGGGAGCTATGCATTGAAGGCACTAGCTTGGATGCATGAGTGCCATTGAGGGCGCGACTGGGCCATGTCTGACAGTGTCTCTAAACATTGATATCGCCCATCTCGGGGTTCCCATCCAGGAAGATGGCAATGACCAGCGCAGCTGAGTTGGTTTGTAATTGCTTTTATACTTCGCTGCCAAGTGATTGTGTGACCGACTCTGGCTCTTCTCCACGCTTCACGTGGTGGTGAGAAAAGAGCCCTTCGGGGAATTCGGTCGACTGGCATATGCAGCACGTGGCCAACCCAGCGCAACCCAAGCAGTGTGATAAGTTCATATATTGAGGATGGGTTATTTCTTCCGAATACCGTTTGACGTACTTTAGCGTTGCTGATCCGGTGTTCCCACCAGATTCGGGCGATGCCCCGAAAGTATCGATGGTCAAACACTAAAAGTCTTTTGACGCCCTCAGCGCGCAGCGGCCAGTTTTCCCATCCATACAGTAATATGGAGCGCAACGCAGCATTGTAAACTCGACCCTTGACAGAGAAGCTGATGCCACGCCTACACTACCGGTGACGCAGGTTCGCAAAAGCTGCTCTGGTCTTCCCAGTCCGGATGGAAATACCACCTTTCACGAGACCACCGGGACCGATGCAGCTGCCGCTGGCGCATTATCCATTATGGCCGAAATAATTTTAAGACCCAGGTGCCTGGTGCTGCTCAGATGGTACCTACTGTGCGCAGCCGTATCAGGAATGAGGCAGTAATACTCTTCCCTGGCGACCACGGGTTAGGCCAAACCCCTGCAACCAGGTGAGTCAGGTGAGTCATCGGCTGAGATCAGGATCCCAAAAGAACACCCTACCGTCCACTGCCTCGTGGTTCAGGCTCTTCTCATTACCCGCCTTGTGACAGCGTTTTGTGAGAATATACTAACTTTCTTGTTTCAGATGCTCGTCTTTGGTCGAAATCTTAGTCCTGAGCATTTTTTTAAATTTTTGCAGATCCGTGTTCCACTTAGGCGTTGAATGATGTCGGCCACTTCTGATGTATCTGACTGTTTGGACTTGATTAAAGAAACGATTGAAGAAGACCAGGCACACACACACGTAATCGTTGTGTTTGGAGCCTCAGTAAGTTGTAATATTCGTCCAAAAACATTGTTTCTTCAAGGGTGACCTAGCTAAGAAAAAGACATATCCTTGCATTTGGTAGGCCTTTTTGCTTACTCTTCATCAGACTTCTTATAGGTGGCTATTTCGTGATGTCTGCTACCAGCAAAGACATTCGTTATTGGATACGCCCGTTCTCCCCTGTCCGTAGTCAAGATCAGGATTCATTCAGAGCCATACATGAAGGTGAGTTTCTAACGAACCATATTTCAAGACATTTCGGATATTTATTTCATTTTACTGCGTGTGGCATCCGGATCTTAACACTTCATTTTTTTATCCGGAACTTGTCCAACAAGGCTACCAGCAAAGACATACGTTATTGGATACGCCCGTTCTCCCCTGTCCGTAGTCAAGATCAGGATTCATTCAGAGCCATACATGAAGGTGAGTTTCTAACGAACCATATTTCAAGACATTTCGGATATTTATTTCATTTTACTGCGTGTGGCATCCGGATCTTAACACTTCATTTTTTTATCCGGAACTTGTCCAACAAGGTACTGCCGGATAACCTAGAACTGTTTGAAAACTTTTGGTCCCGCAACTACTACATTCAAGGAGACTACTCTGATTCTGCAGGATTTCAAGAACTCAACCGATTTATCGAGACCAACTGGGGCAAACATGTGAATAGGGTCTTCTACCTTGCTGTTCCTCCAACCGTCTACATGCCTATCACTTCGAATATTCACAAGTGTTGTATGTCTGAAAGGTGAGTTCTTTCCTAGCTTCTCGCGTAAGTTGACGGATACATTAGGGTCAAATCAACCTAGGTACCACAAGAGCGCGCTTTCTAGCCTCGTTTACCTACCTCGCTGAATACGCTGGCTGTGCTTAGAAGAAATCCTTCACGATAAATTTCGTTTTGATTACGTTTGGAGGACCAGTTTTCGCTAAGCCTGTGAGATTTTCAAACTTCGCAATAGAATCCCCTGTACTTTATGGTGAGTTTGCTTTGGATCGCGGAAAGTGCCACTCAATTTGTATGGAAAGAAACCCTTTAATAATACATTTGTTTGTGACCAGTTTCCGTTACAAGAATGCTTCCTTACCAAACTTATCAGAGCTTGCTTTTAGAGAGCAAAAAGCTCACGTGGCTCGGGACGATGTCATGTTTTAATTATGATAAATTAGCTGTGAGTGTAGTGGACACTCGGTCAACGTTAGGTATGGAGTATGGCTTAGGGCTGGAAGGGCCCACTGAAAGTTACGTAGCCTTCCCCCTGTCTAACCTTTCACAGTACAACTAACCATTCGGATGTGCTGAATTTTTCACGCATTGCATGGTATTAATTCGTTCAAGCTTACTGGTAGTAGGTTTTCAGTTATATTCTCTCGAGCGTTATTTTCAATATCGAATCCTCTAGGGCTCTGCTGCTTACGATAACTAGTATATCATTTGTATTATGAATACAACGTTTTAGGTAAATTAAAACAAGGACGCCTTGAGTCGGATTGAGCCAGAGACTTCTTGCTTATGTCCCATTTCATTCAGTTATTTCACTACGTGGTTAGCGCTATCATATGGCACTTCTGGCCCGTCTCGTAGTCCGAATTGTTGGAAGGACATAACTTAAACGACCATACCATGGTGAGCAGTACTGATGCCAATTCTGTTATGTACAAAAAGCCATTTTCATCAAATTAACAGAAGCATGAGAATTAAAGTTACCGATGTGCTTCGAGCATCTAAGTGGCATTTTCGCCGACGAATATCAAGCCATTACATTGGCGCTTTTGAGGATTTGTGGAAGAAGGTTCCCGTAAATTCTACCAAATCAATAGTTCTCGATCGTTTTCTTCATCGTCGGGGTGGTGGAAATTTACTGTTTTAGTAGTGGCAGAATCTCGCTGACACCAAACTCATTTGGTTATCAGGGCTGAACCGACGACTGTATGGTTCTGACAAATATCAGTGTAAGGTTGCGACCCCCAGATTGGAGACCACTAAAGTGGACAACAACCGTGCTGTTTAACGGAACTGTGGAAACGAGCAGTATTTCGAATGGTCTAGATCGCCAATCTGCTCTTCCAACCATCAAGTATTCTCAGAAGCCCCCCGCAACTGCCTAACCCAGGTGTTCATAAGTAGTCCGACTGGTACTTACTATTCGTGCATCGGCGACCGCATGCTTCAAACAACTCAGTCGCCATTCTCGTTATATCGGTATACCTCGAGGATCACCAGAAAGGATCTCTGCTTACTACCGTTTTGTCTTCGTCTTTGTAGCCTGGATCAAGATACTTGCTACCTATAAGGTTTAAGGCTAACCAGTATGGAACCAGACGGATAGTCGTCACAGCAGACTGTTGTGCACTGTCCAATACTCATTCCAGTTGAAATTGACAACGTTCGTTGTCACAAACTACAGTCACCTCCTATCATTCCTCTGCACTGAGCCTGTCCAGCAGTTCACAAAGCGGAAGCAACTTTCCTTGGTACAGGATCTCCGTTTCATTGTGTATCGCATTAGGCCCATAGCTGGAATGGCGCCCGTAATATGCAACCTTTCACATGTACCTACTTTCTGTTGGCCAAGCCCTTCCCTAACTTGAACCCACTGTTTTCTACGTATAACTCATGTATTCCATATTCGTCCACAATGCCTCATGAACTTTTGACCTTTAACGTGTTGAACCGACTTTGATGAACTTTTCACGTGAGATTTTCGACCCATCGCGTTACCACGTGCTGTGCGCGCACATACGTCGCTAACTCAGATCGATTCGCCCTTCTTTCTGGGATTTCTCTGGACCTGCGCCAATTCGTGCAACAGTTAGACGGAAATCACCATAATTTGAGGCTTTATCTCCTCTGTAATGTACTACTCATAAGGTTGCTGAAAATCCACGACCGGTTTCGCCCTTCTTGGGGGTCATCAGGTAGGCGCAGTTCCCGGGTTTCCGTCAACCTTATGTTCTACTTGAAACCAAATTGCACGAAATTAGCGAATATACACTCATTTGCAAATTAATTTGGTTTTTTCGAGAGACTCACCTGGAACCCAGCTGAATCTCTCGTTTGTGATGTTCTCAGGCAACTGAATGTGCTGTACCAGGCCACCTCATGTTTCAATCGCTACGATATTCGAGGTATCGTGATACGTGCATAACTTTGTAATGTACTACTCATAAGGTTACTGAAAATCCATCGACAGCCCACGACCGGTTTCGCTTTTCTTGGGGCTCATCAGGTAGGCGCAGCACATTCAGTTGCCTGAGAACATCACAAACGAGAAATTCAGCTGGGTTCCAGGTGAGTCTCTCGAAAAAACCAAATTAGTTTGCAAATGAGTGTATATTCGCTTTATCTCCTATATACGTGTTTTGCACGTGTAGTACCGCATTTTGTTGATAAATCCCAGGAATTCGCAATTCCTGGCTTGTGACTCCGCGCGTCACTCAATCGGACTTCCCAAAATACGCCACGTACTCTGCATCACGACTCACCAGACCTTTACCTTGTCGGGGTTGTCCCGCGAGCGCGTTTTAAGAACAGTTTGAAAGTAATGTTCTATACCACAGGCCTGTTTTCTTTATTCGATCGAGATGAGCAGTCTATCTTCACAAAGTTCCGCAAACCACTTTTGCCTGTTCCCGGGATTCATCCTCCGTGAAGGCGGATAAAGCTTGACTGTAGTTACCCGGCCATCCAAATAGCGCCAGTGGAGCACACTTTTTTATCGAAATAAACCTCACTGCCAAGCGCAGGCACTTTGGGTTTGCTGGAGCATCTTTGTTGATCCACTCAGGTAGTTGAAATACATCGTCTTCTGTTAGACACTTCGGATATGACCACGAAAAAACTGATAGGTTAACTGTGTTTATGTACACTAAGAGTAGTAACAATAGCTTCCCAATCTTGTCCGTTGTGATAGGAGTAAACGCTGATGTGTTTCAGTAGACTATAGCTTACCTGAGGTACCTCGCGTTGTCGATCCCGTCATGTCAGATCGCATGGGACAAGTCAACTTTTGCCAGGTCATCACAGTCCGGTGTACGTGGCTTACATATGATTTAAGCACAGTGACGAGTGTTCATTTTGTGCGCAAGATCGGACTGGCGAATAATTACAGTTCCTTATGTCGGTCTCTGAATGGCAGATGTTATTGAACGAAGAAAATCAGAGCTACCATGGCACTCCGCGAAAAGTGCATACAATCGAACAACTTTTTAATGAAGTAGCCGTCAGTGTCTGCTTTGTCACAGGTCAATCCTGTCAATCTTGTTGAAAGGACATTTGATGATGCACTGATAACCACTACACCACCTTTCTCTTGTTTTATATTATTATTATTATTGCAGACTTTTGTTGTCACTACCAAAATAGGTCTCATGGGTTCGTTCGTGGCTGGTGAATTCACATCAGATTGAGATAACCCGTACAATCACAGAGAGTGGGAGAGAATAGTCCGCAACGAACCACTTGCTTTGATTTCCTAGCGGAGGAGTTAGCTAGACGTTTTGACGTAACAGCGCCGCATACATACCCAACGCTTTGGATGAAATACAAGGAACTTGGAGAGCTTTAATCCATATTTGGCGTGCCATAATGGAAGAATATCGGAGGACTTTTACTATTCAGTGTGATTGAAATGTCCGATTAACCGCATTCACAATTGAATTTCAAAAACAGTTTCTCTAATCTAATGAAGCACTCTCTGCACGTATCGTTTATCTGAGGATCGCGATATCGGAGTGGTGGTCTTGTCTGTTAACCAGCCAGGTTGAGGATCACACTCGAATGACATTTGGAATAAGCGCTTGCTTTCGGCCAGTCTGCGGGATACATGCACACCAGATAACCCGGAATTGACGAGTGAAGTCACTTATGCATTGCATTTTTGTGGAAGGTGTGTGTGTGTGCATGCTTAGACAACGCACCCGCTGATGACCTGGCAACTCGGATTCCGAAACGGGTGCACGGTGTTACGTGCAAGTTAGAAACTTTCATCTCTTAGACCATCCTAATCTTACATCGACAAACAATAAAGCTGCTATGAGGACAATTTAAAAGTGATTTCCATGCACGCTGCAGTTGTCACCTCTAAATGATCTTAGGGCAACATAATGTGATTCCGAGAGATATTAAAGTGAAAAAGGTTGCCGGTAGCTGAGGCTGTTGCTATCAGGCTGCGTAAACCTCAACTCTGCTCACATACTGTTTGCCTGTTGTTTATCTCGGGCACCTTTACATGAAACACATCATCATCTCACATACTGCCTGTTGTTTATCTCGGACACCTTTACATGAAACACATCATCATCATCATCATTGTCAGCTGTAATGACCGCGTACTCGCTCGT